TTATTCGTCCCGTCTTTTCCTAGTGAGCCTACTGCCTCCATGTTTCTCCGCCGCCTTGCCTCTCGCAAGTCTTTTGATCGACTTACTTACTGTACAAGTATCAGAATGGCGTCCAGTGTAATCGGCAAATCCGGTCGCGTATATGTGCAAGACAAAGTGCTCCAGCGACAGTGGGAAGAGAAGTCGAATATTCTGAGAGCCGAGTATGTCCACAGTCAGGATATAACGACAGCATGCCTGACCCATTTTTCCTAGGTCCGAAAACGAGTTTTTTGTTCTCAAACCCGTACGTAGACCTTTCTACGAGCTCTCCCGAACACTCGCTGCCGAGTTTGCTGGTTCTCGTCGCCTTCGGATGCATATCGATTGCAACGAAATAGAAGATATTCTAGTCTATCCATATTTCAGGGATACCCTACTTGGTATAATTCAGAACGATCCTGATTTCCCTACGACGGAACGAAAGAAATTCTACAACGTGTAGGAGAGGCAATACAAGAGCTTCATGCAAGAGACTGAGTCCACATTGGTGCATTTACTACGACTCGCAGATCTAAAAGATTACTAACCCATATTTACAGACGTGAAGCCTGATAATATCCTGGTCAATTGGACGAGCGATGGCAACGGCAAAAAAAACAGTTAGCGATGTGGTCCTAGGCGATTTTGATATCGCTTTCAAATCTGAAGGAGGCAAGGCACGTGAAACCCCTCATGCAATAGGAAATGCAATGTGGCGAAGTCCAGAAGGACAGACTGGGAAAGGTGTAACGAAAGCGTCAGACATTTTCTCATTTGGTCTTGTCGTAAGTGCACCCTATCCAACGTCAACTACATAATCTAATTTTCTCTTCGTAGTGCATCTACACTCTAAGTGGTGGAGAGTTCCTGCTTTTAAATGATTACAAGGAGCTTGTAAAACAAGGCATATCCGCAGAACAAGAGATTCTTACTCGGCATTTCATCTACTTTGGGCCAGTTCCTGAAGGACTTTACAAGCAAGTCAATGACAAGAATTGGTGTGAAGCTATGAAGGAATCCTCCGAGATAGCAGATCTCGCAGCTAAAGACCAACCTGAATTGAGATTCACCTCTTGGTCGCAAGAGCTTGGTTCGGCGGCACAGGACATGATATATTGGATGACAAATCTGGATCCGGCACATAGGACAACCATAGATCATGTCTTATCGCATCGTTGGTGGCAAGATCGGGAATGAAATAGTCATCTATTCAGTGGAGAATCATGAGACGATGCAATCCCATGGTGATCCTTCCCCGAGCATGGATGTCCATCCCTCCAACTTCCACCCCGCCTCCTATCCTGCCCGCCAAGTAGTGCTTGGCGTTTCAACAAGCAACAATAGCTTCGTTTTCCGGGTTTGGAAACTTTTATCTAATATACAGAAAACGACCTAGTTATCCGCATCCGCTGTCAGTTGGGAAACTGCAGGCCGTTTGCCTGGAATCAAGCAAAATTCTAATCTCCGTTCCTGTCCTTCAGATAGACATCTCATCCCATGTTCTAGATCGCTTATTAACATCAGCATGGTGTATCTCTCATTATAGTCTAGAATCAGACTTCTAGATATAAGGGAGTAGGTTTCCCATTCCGAACTCTTTCCTACCTACCCGTCTTTCGTTTCTGCAATTCGTCGAGATTGATTCATTCGTTCATTTTTTCCATTCTCAAAGTCACTCGTTTGCCATGCATTCACTTACACTCCTTTCCCTGGCAGCCGGCGCTGCACAAGCATACACCGTCGTCGTGGTAGACAAGTTCATGACCAAGAACATCGATCCTGTCGTTATCCCCGGGCAATACAAAAGTCACTTACACACATTCTTCGGTTCCGATGCTGTGGATTTGAATACCACCACCTCGAAAGAACTCCAGACTGGGTGCACAACCGCGCGGAATCCCAATGATTTCTCTTCGTACTGTAAGTTCCTGATTTCTTCTTCAAGAGTGGGTTTTGTGTTAATTGCAATACAGGGGTGCCAACATTACTCTACACCAAAGGGACGACAAACACACCAGTCCCCTTCACCAGCTTCTCCGCCTACTACGTCGACATCGACCAAGCCGAAATAGCCATCCCTCAAGACTACAAATCCGTCGTCGGGAACTCAGCAGCAAAATCACAAGCAGACGTAAACGACCTTGCCGGCATCGAATGGTGGTGCGAAGGCGATCCTGCAGAGGCAGGCAAAGACAAAGCCGCGTTCCCCTCGAAAACATGCTCGACACATCTCCAAACCCTGCTTCTCTTCCACGACTGTGTCAATCCCGACACACTCGAGTCCGCGTATTCCGGCACGCAGAACTGGAAGACGGGGTTCAAACCTGCGAATAGATGTCCAGCGGGAATGAAGCGGATGCCGAGATTGAGATTCTCTATTCGCTATGATTTGCGAAAGATCGTTCCTGGTGGATGGTCTGGGGCTGCTCCTCTCAAGTAAGTAGACTCTTGAATACTACCCTAAAATCTTGTGTGAAAGGGTCCTTGATTCAATTTACTGACTCTCAGGTTCAGACTAGCATGCGGACCATCCTACTGCACACACGGCGACTTCATCAACGGCTGGCTCCCAGAAGCGGCAGAGAACATGCTTCTCGCAAATTCCAAGAGAGACTTCGCAGCAGTCTCGGGACCTCTCGGCGCTCAGGATAACAAAGTGGCTGCAAAATGCAAAGCGCAAGATGCCGATCCTGGAAATGGAGCTTCTACCTACGAGGCGAGTCTCACATTTCTATGAACGAAGTCGAGAGGGATATGACGAGGAATGGGGAAGGAGGCGGATATTCGGAACAACTTATCTGTCTGGGAAGTTAAGCTGCTGCTTGTACGAGGAATTCATGGATAGGAAAGACCAGTGGATCTGGGTTATCTTCTGCAGCCTAGTTATCTGCCTTTGTATTATTAAGAAGTTTTGCGAGAGTAAAGATATGGATACTTCAGTTATTGTGTGATCCCCATGAGTCATTTCTATAAATGATCCGATGAACATCTGAAGGTGTGAGAATGACCGTTTCACCCTAGATAGCCAGGCGAGCGCGGCTAGCGCTGTGACTGCTAGCACTGCTAGCAGTTACCCAAGCGCTTTGAACACCTCACATCTCTAGTCTCAGCAGAACACTATATCTAGCAAGTTTGTCAATGTAACGAACGAAATGCTAAGACAGCAACAGGCCCTAATACTAAGAATAACTTTGAATTTAAATTTTAAATTATGCATTGAGCACTCGAGATCTCATCGGCGCTGTAGTGCTATGACAACCTCCTCTACGTCCTCACTTCAACCTAAGAAGACCTTCGCGTGCGTATTAAAAGCATAGATTATGAATCAACTGTATGAGAGACATGTATAATTATTTGAACAGGTGAGTACTATACCCCTGTTAATAGGTATGAATAGCTTGATTGAGCTGAAGCGACGAAGGCGACAGGAACAAAATTTTCCCTCTAATGAAAGCTGGCAAAAAAAGAGCTCCGCTCAACGAAATTTGAAATTCCTACGACTACACATCAGAATTTTGTTTTCGGGGTGAGTGTAGGGTTCAGTGAATTTTCAGTGAATTCCCATCTGGTTGATCAAATATTCTTGGTCGAAGGTGACGACAATTGTTTGTTGTTTTGGAATCCGGACTAAGCGAGAATCGCAATGAACGCATTGAACAGAGGATTCGGCTCTTTATTCGAATGAAAATTAATACTCCTCGAAGATGCAGGATACGGCCTGTAGCAGAAGAGCCTGTGATAGACTTCAAATATCGAGACGCATTCCTGAACAGTTAAGCTGTGGTTGTGTACTCGCGCGGTGAGTATCCCGGAGTTTCTAGCTTCCTGTTCCTCCCTTTTCCTGATCTCAAAAAGCCTTCCAAAATGCTACGCAGTCCATTTATATTTAAATTGGTTCCTATACCGTCGCCGTCGTCGTCGTCGCTACTTCGGGCCCGGCTAAACTCTGCCGAACAAAACCATTCACTACCCAACACGCTCACCTTCCACCCCAAATCACCCCTCCTACAAATAACCAAATAAGCAAAAATCCCCGCCGTTTCGGCAGGTTAAGCCAACTTGCCTCACCCCAAACACGCACCACTAACAAGTTAGCTAACCATCTCCAGTCACATCCACCACCGCCTTACAACCGAACGGGCAGCCACCTCCCCCAAAAAGGGTAACATGGGGATCGTCTACGGATCGTGTGCGACGCTCATATCTCACCTCACAAGGTAACCACATGTGAGTAATGCGGTATGGGTATAGTCGAGCATTGACACCCGGTTGACAGCCGCTTCCTGCCAGCGGACTTCTTAGGTCGTGGATTTGTCTCCTTGCCCGCTTGCGAAGGGTACGTAATGACTGGGGCCTGCGATACCTAAGAATTAATCGAAGACGTATTATTAGTATTAGTTATTTAATTAAAGAAAAAGCAGAACCCTGAAGACGGGTTTGTTCTCCCGCGGGTGCGCGGGAGTTTGTTTTGCTACTGGTTTTGGCTGTGCAGATTGTGCAGATTGTCCTCCCTCAACCTGCGAGATAAAGACCTTATGTTCGGTACTGGATCTGTGAAGGAGACGAGGAATCATAGACTAATTGTAGGATGTGAGATGTGTGTATTTAAATCCTAGCATTTCCTTTTACTATTTTTCCTTTTTTCCGTCTCTCACTCTTCGGTGCTCGTCGTCGCTAAGCGATGCGGCTCCACTTTGTCAACAATGAGATGAAGGAGGGGACAGCACTCAAGCAAAGTCAACGTGCCCTACACCTCGACCAGGTATGAGTACTATCACTACATTGCTCCAATTAATCCACTACCCTTAGCTTCTATATCTGCGGGAAATGCCAGGCATAGCCAATTCGTCCTCCTCAGATTCCACCACCTTTCCTACTCCCGCCCCCCCACCCGACCCATTTCCCCACATCCCACTACCACCTCCTCATAACCAAATAACGAAACAAATCACCATTAAGTCATCTGACATCAGATCAAATCCGGAATGGTGTAGTGGTTAGCATTTCTGCCTTTCATCTGTCCCTATTCAAGGGTAGGAAAGTATCGCAGGAGACCGGGGTTCAATTCCCCGTTCCGGAAACAAACAAGGTCGTTGAGAAATATACTTTTTGTATTTTGGTTTTGGCCGACTAATTCTTCAGAGGATTTGAGAGGCATAGCTGAGATTTGCTGGCTACTGCTCTTTGCTTTTGTTTATTTTTATTTGGGTTGGGTTAAGCGCGGCCCCGTCGAGCGAGAAGTGTGATAATATATCCCCGCATGACGCGTTTGGAAATCTGTCCTAGGGCCCATTGTGTTGTTCGTGAGAACCTATTCGATTTCCATCCTACAGCTCAACCACGAGACAAATGCACCTCGCAGGTAAGTGGAACAAACCAAACATGAATGAATGAAGTAAAGACAGTAGAAGCAGCACATTCCCACATTCCAAGTTTATTCACTATCCCCATCTCATGAAACCAAACAATACAATATGTACTATAATATACGTTGCGTGCTGAACTCCCGCAGGAAAAAAAATACATCAAGGGTATGAAGCTATTCACAAACACAACCTAAAATCCACAACTACAATAGAGCATTCAATCATCATCGCATCCCGCATATATCAGATCCAGCGGTGTCTGTAATCCCGCAAATCCCATAGATCTCAACTTCAACATCAGCATGTAGATCATCCACCCCAGTGCCACCCATGTATCAACCAGCGTTATTCCTCATCTGCGCATCTTCAACAGCTTGATTCCAATCCGCTTTCCAGATGAAGTATCCCTCAGCAGCAGCGACCCTATTTCTCATTAGTCAAACCCCTTCCAAGTCCAGCAAAAGAAGTAAAAAGGATAGATAGAACTTACAATCCCAACGCAAGCGCCACACCACTCCACAAACCCTGCAATTCCCAATCTAGAGCGAAAGCCGTATAAAACGAAATTGGCATAGCAATAACATAATAACAGAACAGATTGACCCAACCACCGATCTCTTGTCTCCCAAGACCTCGCAGTAGACCGTTGCAATTCGCTGCTAGGGCGTCGAAGAGTTGGAAGGCTGCGCAGAGAGGCATGACACGTGCGACGAGGTCGGATACGCCTTGGTCGTTGGTGAAAAGTTGGGGGATGAGGTTGCGGAGGGAGGAGAGGAGGATGACGTTGAAGACACCGATGATGGTTGCTGTGATCATTACCTGGAGAGAAGTTAGTAAGTAGAACAAAACTCTAGACGAGAGTGAAAACCGACCACTTTGGCGCTCGTCTTCGCGGCGTCGCTGAGTGTAGCTCCGATCAAGTTCGCAATACGAGTCGAGGCTGCAATGGAGGTCGAGAATGGAATCTGGAACGTCATAGCAGTGATTGTACTGAGAACACTCTGTGCAGCAAGATGTGTAGTGCCGAAATAGCTTGCTGCGAGAGTTAAAATCTCAAAAGCAAGGTATTCCGCTTCAACCATGAGTAGACCTGGTAGAGCAAGTTTGATCATTGGACCTATTCACGTCAGCATTTTCGCCATTTGCAGAATCTCAGATCGGTACATACCCCAGTTATGGAAAGCTTTCCACGTAAATCCATTCCAGCATTGCCGCCCATCCACAAGCCTCACATACAAAAACAAGAAGATTGGTAGAAGGTTATCTGTAACAGCGACAGCGATGGGAGCTCCAATGAAACCCCAATCGAAATGCCAAACAAATAGCCAGTTCATAAAAGCGTTCAGAGGTGCTGCAACAAGCAAGACGTAGGTGGTGGCGGAAAACAAGCCTTGAGCTTGTACGAAGCGCTTCCCGCTCTCAAAACAGGCGTACCCAGGCGCACCAAAGAGTAAGATTCGGAGGTAAAGTCCGGCGAACTCTGCGGATTCCTTTTCAGGAACCATCTTCTCCAAGATCTTCTCAGCGAATAACCAGAGTACACCAATGGGAATCGTTAGAATCCAAAGGAAGTAGACCATCCTCTGCAATTGTAGACCGACAAGATGTTTCTTCCCACTGCCATACGCCTGCGCGCATAGTGTATCCAAACTCGTGGCCAATCCTTGGTATATCGCATAACCTGAAATGTTGGCTGTCATACTAGCCAAACTGACCGCACCCAATTCCACCTTTCCAAGATGCCCGACCGTAAAAATACTGGCTACTGGCAGCGAATACTGAAGCACGAACGTGACAACCAGAGGACTAGAGTACTTCCACAGCGTCTTGGCTTCTCGCTGCCATGTCGTCTTGATCTTCCCTGAAGCAACAGCTGCTTCCCATTGGGCATTCAATCTCTCATGCCGAGTTCTCGCGGATTCCGGTGCACCATCCCCTAACAATGCAGAAGTTTCCGAGGGTCCCCCAGTTGATAATGGATCTTCAGAATCCGCCTCTTCATCTGCCACGGGTTTCGGTCTCCTCGTACTAAATAACCACTTGTACAACCTACTCAATGCACCTCTGTCTTTCGGTTCAGGATGTTTCGGCGGAGCAAGATGGTTATCCCTCAGCAAACTCCTTTCCTCGTTCCTAACTTGCTTCTTCTCCTTCTTCGTCAAGTAATTTGGCTCCTGGAACTGTTGGGACATCCCGTATTAGCAAAGTCCTCTCAATCAGATCCCCCCCCCCCCCCCCCCCCCCCCCAAAAAAAATATAACAACTAATCTAAGAAAATTCTAAGAGGCACAAAATCCCTGATCTCCCCAGAATAGCCACCAAGCAAATAAAAAGAACTTCACATACCTGCGGCGTCACAGCACCACGAGTCCCTCCAAAAGCCACAAAACTCGGTCTTCGGTACGAATTGGCCATGCTATGTTGCACGGCATCCGGGCGCACCGTCGATGCCTCTGAAGAATCATCTTCCGAGCTTGCAGTCCCCGTATCAGGAGTCTCGACCTCGTCGTCGTCGCACTCCTCGAGATCTCGTGCGATCGATTCCTGGGCTAAGGGCGAGCCAGACAAGAAAGATCCAGAGAGGTAGGAATTGCTGAAGGGGGATCTTGCAATCGAGTGCCGACTGGGCTGTTTCCTGATCGGCCGAGCAGAACTCGCCATGTTGAAGAATGGGGGGAGGTTTGGCGTGTAGAAACCAGGGTGGGTATTATCGTTCTCCAGCTGTTGACAGTGCTTTGAATACTCCTCCGACTTCAACACTTGGTGCAGCAATCACCCATAGAAATAATGGCAGCGACCTGGGCTAATTAAGCAGAGCAATCAAAAGTATATATGAGAATGAGCAGACAGAGGGAAAAGAAAGAGGAAGAGGAGAAGGAGGGAGGTGACAGGACGGGAGATGCGAAAGAAAGAGAAGGCCGGACCGCTTCCCCACCAAGAGCTCTCCCTCTCCGCCTCGCGACCTAATCGCCCCAGCTACTAACCCCTCCAAGTCTAGACCAATAGATAAGCGTTTTGTCTCAAATAGGTGCGAGTAACCGACGGTGAGTGAGTCAAGCTTTGAAGAGATGATGGATGGGATGGTCGGCGTTGCATTTACTGTAAAGACTGCATGGCAAAGGTGGCGAGATGTGCATGGAGAGATATGAGTGCATTGCGCCACAATGAATGTCGATTTAACAGTAACAACATTTGAAGTTGGACAAAGTCAACAAAGACAGGATGAACTGTAAAATGCCTGCAAGATACAAGGATAGGCCGAAGCGCAGATGCGGCCGCTTCCGAGGCAAGCAGCCATGGTGAGTTGAAAGACAGAAAAAGAGGAGCGATTGACTGTATTGTATTGTATATGAAATGCAATCCGCTCTAAGAGTTTCAAAGATTGTCAAGATAAAGAACGAGTTGACTTATGTAAAGAACTTTAGTAAATTCTAATGCAAACCTCACCATCATTTCCTTTCAGATCCAATTTATTTGAAAAGTTGGGTGGGCGGTTTTGTACTCCCAAAAAGCTACCCTTGTCATTAAAGTACGGCATACCAGACTTTCAACACAAAGACGCAGAACCGCCACCAAAACATTGGCATTGGCAAATGATATCACACGATCACACGAGCACGCAAAAGAAGCTCCTCAACACCACCTCAGCTCTCAGTATCAATAACAAACACCGTCTCCTTTCTCCCAAAAAGACATTGGTGGGAATTTTACATTCTTATGTATCCAAGATGCCTCTCGCAGACTATTCGGACGATGAGGAAGAAGTGGGAAGCAGGAATACCTACACCGTACTCGGGATCCCGATGGGTGCTAAGCCCGTGAACGTTCCTCCGTATGTACCCCTCTACTTGATTCCTACTTTGCCTACTCCTTCTTCTACCTACTGCAATGAGCATGAAAAAGGGAGAATGTTCGTTTTGGAAAGCAATTGCAGGAGCTTGCAAGGAGGGGCAGAGCCAGAAAGAGAGCTATAACTGAAGATATACATACCATACTAACACAACAACCAACCCCCCCACAGACACAACAGCACGTCCATCTTCTGTGTGCCCCCCTTCTTCGGTCCCCTCCTCTTCGACAACACAGACAGCGACGCCCGAGACCACTGCGCCAACGAACGAAGTACATCTCCTCCCCTCTCCCCTTCCTCCCCTCCCCAAACCACATCCAACAAACCCAAGCTAACACTCCCCTCCCCAACCACAGCATTCCTCTCCTACCTCCGGCTCTCAATCTACATGGCCGTGGTATCCATCGCCATCGTCGTATCCTTCCACCTAAAATCCCAACCCTCGCGTCTGGAGCTGCGCATGGCGAAACCGCTCGGTATAATATTCTGGCTGCTGAGCTTGAGCTGTCTGGCGTTAGGGTTTGGGAACTATATCAAGACTGTTAATAAGTATAGTCGGAGGGCGGCTATTGTGCAGACCGGGTGGAAGACACAGTCGGTGAGTTGGGGGGTTATTCTTTTCTTCTTCTTTGGAGGATTTTCTATGGAGAGGTTGGAGGGGAAGAGTGAGGTGCTTATTATGGATGGCTGTGGAGGAGGGCTGATGGGAATGCCTACGGATAACGTCCTGGAAACAGAAACACTCTGGATATGGTCCTAAGGAAAATTGGTCTGTCCTATACTAACGAATAACTCAGGTTCTGACCGTCATCGCTTTCAGCATCGTTGCTGTCTGTGTACTCTTCCTAGCTACGAATTCAAAAC